CACAAACAACATAACATTAAAGGGTTTCTCTAGTCATCTGTTTCATATTGCAAACTTCATATCCCAAGCTTCAATAATTTTGTTCTACAACTACTTTCAAATCAGTGAAACAGCATATTTAACTAGGAGATTTTACTATGAAATTTGTTCAGAGGATGACCAGCAGCATAAATTTGCATGCGCCCAGTAATAACTGGTACTTGCTTCATAACTTAAATTTTGCCTGTCCTCTTTGCTTGCACTGATATCTTTTCAAATCACTGCATTTTAAAACATGAAAGAAAATTCTTATATTCTATTAATTGGTCCTGTTACATGATGAAAGCTTCAACAAATGCAGTTGATGCATTGTGTGATCTTATGTGTCAGGCACTGGCTGTTTTTCTTAGCTTTAAATAATCACAAATTGAGTTTGAAATGTCTCTGCTAGAGCATGGGAGATAGAGAGCTTTCTCTAGTTTATTGTAGAATTTGTTGCATGACTAGGAGTGTGTTGTTTATTCTGAACAGACCTCACAAAGCTGCTTATGAGTAAGACCATGTGATGTATATCAGTTCTCAACTGCTTTTAACTTAGCCAGACCTTAAGATACGAGGTTAAAATTTTTCATCCTATGTATGGAATAAGATAAAAAAGGAAATGCTCTTTTGGTCAGCAGCAAAAAAACATCATTTGTATTCTGAAAGAGCACATCAGGCATGAGAACTTTTGTCTCAGAAAATTTTCTAGCTTTCCTGTTGGAGACTATAGAGTTTGAAGAAAGGATAGGAAGCCAGATGCCACAAGCAGGAGCAGCTCCCTGGGATATCAGGGCACAGAGCAGGATTGGGAGACACCAGGGCAGCTCCATGCGTTGGGAGCCTCCCCAGGCATGGGGCTAGGCTGAGGTTTGGTTTGATTTCTGAAGATAACCCAGGCTGCATTATGAAGAGGAGGCTGTGGATTGACTGTATCTTTATTTTTGTTACGTTTGTGTGGTATGTGGTATGGTCTGTACTGAAGGCAGCATAGCAATTTTCTGTTATAGCATGCTAAACATCACCTGCCTCTTCAGCCAGGGCACTGAGATGCAGATCTTCTTCACTTTCATCTCTTTTGCTTGTGACAGTGAGCCAAAACTCAGCATAGTCAGCTCAGAATTACCATGATTACCAAGGTCTGGTGCCCAGAGTCTGAGATCTCAAAATGTGTTTTAGATCATCCCAACTTGAAAAATCTATCTCATTTCAAATACTTGGGTCAGAAGTGTGGGTAACTCCATTGCTTGGATTCAACTCTTGAATATCATGAGGTTTGGTGGAAGTAGGGGACTGAGGAGCATCCAGAATGTGAGGACAAGTTGGCTGAAATTCAGCCACAAATGTTATGTGGGGGGAGAACGTAGAGAATATCTTGACTTGATTTTTCTCAAGGTGCTTACAAGTTTCTAGTCTGTTTGCCTCTTGCCTTCATTAGTCCCTTTTGGAGGCTGCATATTCTTTTGACAACAGGACAAGTGCAGCCAGGAATGGTTAGCTTGAGAGCTTTATCTCAACATGGGAGTACCAGTAGGAGACATTTCTGCACAGCACTTTTGACTCTGAACCTTTTGCTCAGTTATCTCCCAGGTTAGTTTGTTCAAGCTTTTAGAGTACTTTGGACAACTCAACCTTTCATACTTTTGAAAGAAGATATGATCGATGGGCCAAAAACAGAATTAATAGTTGCTTGTCTGGATTGACTGTTTGGCTCAGGTGTGCTTAAATTAACTTCTTCTATTGTGATCCAGCTGGGGTCCTAAATAAATAATGGACTCACAAAAATGGTGGTTAGTTTAGTTGTCAAATGATACTAGCTTCAACGTCTTTCTACCTGTCATATTTTAAGCCCAAGAGAGAAACATTTTCAGTCATTCACAACTAAGAAATAATATTTTGAGAGCATCACTTTGCACAAATGCCTACAAGTATTGCTCTATAATATTTAAGATTTCTGTGTTTATTTTACATCCAGATGAGGAGAGGCATAAAGTGAACTTAACATTTTTTCAGTTACAGTGTGATCTGAGGAAAGTAATGCTTGATGTAATTGGAACACGTGGTCAAGTATTTTTTAATGATTATGAGATGATTGAATTTACTGAATTATCTCATCCCACACTGTTCTGATACTATTAATTTGCCTTAAATGAGTTGAAGCCATGCAATGCACAGCAGCTATGTTTTCTGTGTAGCTTTCTAGTCATTAATAGTTCATTATCATTTTTAATGTAGATTACCTGTTAGTATAATTATGGTAAACATTTCCTATACTAAAAACTGATAATTCTCTGGGCTGCTGCTGAATAAACTATCATAGTGATATCCACAGATATGTGAACAATAAAATAAAATAAAATTTCAGAAATACATGATGCAGTAGGAATTCTATGAAATTTATAAGAGTTTTAGGCACAGTGAGGGTATTCTCTAAGTGACTGTTATATCTGCCAGAGAAGACATCTGAGTTGATGCCATTTCAAATTTTTAAAGTAGATTATGAAACAAGCAGAAGATTTAAATCCTTAAGCAGTGCTGAAAGGAAATCTGAGACCTTAGGAAGTTTCTCCATGGACAATAGCAATGACTTCACATTGCAGTGTTCCATGGTGGAGAGAATGCTTTTAATAGGAATTTCAACATTTTTTTTTTACTTTTCTTATCAAGGAGAAGTTGCCAAGTGTTTTGGTTTCAGTGATTCTATGGGAACTTGCAGCTTGTGCCACCTGATGCTGTAGCTGTCATTGCCCTTAAGGGCGATATTAGTATGAAGGTTGTTGCAAAAATAATTAATGCTTGTCAAATGCTTTGTGTGTATTTTTGTGTAACAAAAAATTTGATTCTAAAGTTCTTTCAAGCTCTCGTTGTTTAAAGCTGGAAGGCATGACAAAGTGTAATTCAAACCCAGCACAGTGCATACTTAAATAATCTGACACATACTTACCCTTTGTGAGAGCTTTGAAATTGAAGCTCCATAATACTCTTTTTAAAATTCAGAAAAGGAATTGTCAGTACTACAGATATAAATTAATTATACTCTTGTCTGCTTTTATTTTCATCAGCATTCTAAAAACTCAGGAAGTTGACAGGAGAAAGATGTCACTTGAGATGCATGAGCTGTAATAAGGTGTTACAGGACAACAGGAACTGCAGACTGTGGAAAAGGAAAAATTCTTAGCATCACCTACAGTCCCATGTGAATGCCTAGTGATTCAATGCAAGGAATAATTCTGTTTATATAATCTTGCAGTTAAATGGATAAATAAACTAAAAAATATTTTTCCCTTTGATACATCAGAACGCAAAGGTTGCCATGTTCATAATGTTTTTAAATGTTATTTAAGGAATGCTTTTAACTCAGAATGAAAACCAGAAAGAAGGAATAAGCTCTGTTATAAATAGTGGTTTCTATGCATTTGCACAAAGAAAAATATGTAACCTCCTGGTTTGCTTAAATTGAAATGTACTGATTCTTCTGCTATGACTTTAAAAGGTACTGAATGTATTCAGTAGATCTGACAGGTTAATTTTTTCGCTGGTTTTACAAAGGTTGCATATTTGATTAGGAGTGATGCATCATATTTCTCTGCTTGACTGGAGCGCCTAATATTAACAGGATGCAAGAATGCTCTTTTGCAAAATATTGAGATGAGAAGCTGAAGGCCTTCCACTTATAGCATCTTTTAGATTATTAGATCTGAGTGACACTGTTGTAATACTTTTGGCTTAATAACATCTGTTCGATTTATACTTCCTTGGACAGTTTTGCTCAAATCCTTAATTTAACTTTCATAATAACACAGAGGACAATATATTGTGTTTTAGATATATGACACAAGTACTATGTGTAAAAAATTAACTTGATGATTAACATAATGATTAATTTTGTTTTCCAAGAAATTAAAGATGTGAAGAATGATGCTTTTTAGAGTGTTGTTACTTTTGAAATGATAACAGTAATTCATGGTAATTGTAATTCAGAACTCACTGACAGTCTCCCACGTAGTGTGTTTGGAATACTTTAGAGTCTAAATTCTAATACTTTAGAATACTTCAGAGTCTAGATTCAAAAGCAGTGTTTAAGGAAATTATGTTTCAGCAGCATTTAACTGCTGAACATGTCACTTTTGGTAAGGATTTGATGAAGCAGTAATTTTTAATTGTACTGGCTATAAATGGATACATTTTTGGATGGTAATAAATATTTGACAACTTGTGACTAACACTAATCTAAACCTAGTTGTTAATAAAACTTTCAAGAAATTTATATAAATGTTTTAAAAAATAAATATTTAAAATTCAATGATTTGGGAGTTTTTATGTCTGTTACTGTAGATTAAACAAAAGGTTTGTGTCATATCACATGTGAATTGGACATAGTATCTTACATTTATTATATTCCATTTGCAGCAAAGGTGCTTTGGAATTAATCTACGATTTCTATAGTTTTTACTATAAAACTATAGTTTTTTCTATAGTTTTGACTTCTATTAATGCTATTGATCAAAAAATTGGAGACAGTAACAAGACATATACTTCGGTTATCTTCTTTCAATCAATGTGACTACTGAGGGCTGATCCATTGCATAATGCTACAGCAAATTGCTTCAAAAGGATGTTTCCTGCAGAGCACTGAATAATGTAGAAGTTTAAGTTCCTATTTAATTGTACATGACCCTTTTGAAATGCCAACTGTTCCTTTTTAAAAAGAAATTGTTTATTCGGAATGTATTAAGAGGAGGAAATTTATTCACTCATATGAAAATTCCCATTTGTAAGAGAAGGAACAAGTTAGTTTTTAAAATTGATCTGTTAAAATGAGATTGAGTCAGTTGGCTTATTAGATTTAGGAAATCTTTTTTAGTCATCTTTCATATTGTAGGAGATGCAACAAGAATTTTCACTGCTTAGATGTTTCCATTAAAGACTACAGGTGTTTTTCTTAATCAACTTGCTGAAGTTTTTCTTTTCACGTCTTGCAGGTTGTGTTATATCCAACGTCCAATAGCCCAAAGTCTCCTGATCTGCATAAAATGATAGTTCCCAAAAACAGCCAGGACAGTGACCTGAAAATTAAACTGGCGGTGAGAATGGATAAACCACCTCACATGAAGCACTGTGGGTAAGTGTTCATTTCCTGGCTGTCTCTGTTTTATTGTTTTGTCTCACTGTGTCTGTGTTTTTACAAAGTGTATCTAAAATCATCAAGTTTGTAAGACTTGTAACATTATAAATGTCTAAAATATTTCCTATAGTATGGTATTGTGTTATATCTTCATTTTATACAAAAAGTTTGGACTAGTCAGGAATAGCATTCGTTTCAGATGTTCAGTAATGCTAAGACAGATTTAAGATGTTAAGACAGGTGTTAAGACAGATAATGAGCTACATCTAAAATGCAGAACTAAGAGTCTTATTTAGATACTGGTTTTGAATGTTACAATTTATGGCACTTCGTTAAAAAATACTTAGGAGAAACATATTTTTCCATTAAAATCGGATTAATTATATACCTGAATAGAGTGGTAATTCCCACATAGTCTTCCCTTCCTTTCTCTGCTGTATAGACTTTCTCTTGAAAAAAAATTATGTATGAATTCTAGTTTAAGGATATTTTTATGTCTAGCACCAAAACTGTGTGGAAGAGATTATTCAAATAGGCAGCTCCTTTAATTGACGGCTGCCACTATTCCTCAGCCCATATGCAAAAACAGGTAGTGTTGCTGACAGTAAGCAAGTTTGTATCTTTTGTAATAAAGCAATCACGAAGAATCAATGCACTGTCTATGCTATTTAGGTTTCTTTTTAGTCTCCTCCTGTTTGTATTCTGCCCAATGTACATAGGCAGTGATTGCCAAAATTTCCTATGTATGATACTTCCTTTAAAAAAACAACCAAACTGACTTAAGTTTTGTCAAAGTGTTAGTCAGTTGGGCTCAAATTTCCCAGGTATCCATCTTATCCCTCATTTTGGTTTTGTGAAACATAGACACAAATGATTAGGACTGTAACAATGGGACTTGCTGGATGGACACCTGTGGCTGGTGACCAGGAACTGTGAGGAAAGAGAGGATCCAGCAACAAGGAGAAAGCTCCAGTGTTTCCTCTCATCGTGCTCCTGTGTTTCCCCAGAGACTGTCTTGGCATAAGAAACTGTTCTTCTGGGGTCTTCAGAGGGTCTCCTAACCCCCCAATTCAGTTTTCCATACTGTATCAGTATGGTTCATATCAGTAGTCTTGTCTGATCGTTAAAAAACCCAATAAAATATTGTTGTCAATAATTTAGTTCAACCATTATCCCTTTTGTCTGCTGCTGATGGTTGCTTCCTCAGATTGTTTTTGAATACTCGTCTCCTGGCACTGTGATTTACTTCTACATTTTACTTCAGGGTCACTGCTGTGACTATTCTCCAGGCAGATCCTATACTTCTTCCCACCAAAAATGCTCTAGATCAGTTATCATTTCCTTTTCTTTATAGCTATTAGTTGTAATGATTATTACCTAGACAATCTAGACACTTGTTAAAAAAAGTTTGGGAACCCACGGATGTGTGGACTTCTCCGCCATTAATGTATGTGAAATGAAACAAAACTTTATAATTCCTTCAACAACCATTGAAGAGATTGATGAGGAACTGTAGGAAACGCTGGAGTGCAGTGAGAGGAAGGAAAAGGTTATTTATTTGGAGGGAATAAAAACACCTGCAAGTAGAATTGTTAGTGTGAAAACAGTCAGGAACTATTAATGTTATAAAGAGCCATCATCCTGGCACTCCCTGCAGCCTTCTCTTGACTTCCTGGGTAAGTAGAAGTATTAACTGGTCATTTGCTGTTTTTTCAAGAGGGATTCCCACCTACTTCAATACACATATTAAAGCTGCTCTGGTTCTGAACTGATACTGTGTTATCAGGGAAATTTGCATTAGTGAAGAGACAGGAAACATGATGGATGATGGGCAGTATCATCAGAAAGGCGAAGGAATTATTTTGCAGTTAAAATAGTTGAGGGTTGCTTGGAAGAAACTGGCTTTTATCCCTATTTGTGCTGGACAGAAGGACTTCCTTGTAAAGGACTGAAATGTTTCCACCTACAGTAACTGATGGTATGTTATTTGTTTCCTGTGTCCGGTTTGATAAATTGAAATCTGATTTCATAGAGGTGCTTGCCACTCACAGCTATTAGCTGAAGTCAGTGGAAATGGAGCTTTAAATATTCATTGTGCTGTTCAAGTCCAAATATCCTAAAACTTAATATCTGAAGCCTATAACTTTTAGTATTTCAATTATCCTGTTATCAAGAGAAAATAGTACCACCTCTCAGGATCATACACATATGAAGGTGAATCTAGGGAAGCATCTGGTAGAAAAGGTTCCCACACTCTGGAGGAGCTGTGGGAGTGGAGGCACTGTCACTTCACTCAGCCAAAAGCTTGTGCTTTGCTGAGCAGGGTTATAACAATGTCAGGCTCTGAAATTTCCTGGAAAACCTGCACAATATGGAAATGCAAATAACTCAAGTCTCTCTGTAAAGCAATATTTGCATAAAACATAATGAGGGAGGCCATAGGATAAAATGAAGTGTTGAAGAGCTCAAAGGCAACTGCTGCTATCCTAAATAGAGAAAGTGATAGGGAGATTTTTATCTATGTTTATTTTATTTTTAATTTTTTTATTTTATTTTATTGTTAGAACGTTGTAATATATTTAAGTACAGTGTCATAGAGTACACAAAAGGAACAAATATAGAAGGATGACAGAATGTGATCATCCTTTCTCCTGGAATTTCATCGTGTCAGCAAGTTGAATTTTACAACCTTTATAAAACAGACTTCTAGTGTAATTCAAGTAAGTGTGTTCAACCCAGCTAAGTTCTAATTTTTCGTTGTATTTTTCAGAAGCATCTCCTACTTTATCCTTAACCAGTGTTTGAACTAGACAACTTAAGTTTTCTCTATGTCAGAGTTAACAAACTAACATACGAGATTCATAGGTCTCTCATAGGAAAAGAAGGCAATCTGTTGGTATTGCATAATGTTTTTCAGATTAGAGTCTCAAAATTTACTCAGAGTTGAATTCCAATTTTATTCTACAGCCAATCGCAGAAGGATGGGTTTTAGTAGATTAATACTCTATCAAGATAATTACAGTTAGAGACAGTTTTTTAAGATATGGGAATTGTGCCCAAATATTTCAGGTTCTGCAGGATTGGCAAAACCCACAGGCCCAATCTAATGGTGATTTTCAGTTTTATCTCTTCAGAAAAGTTTCTCCGTTTTAAGACTGACATTACTTACTAACACAGAGAATATGCTGGAAGACTTCAAACCTTGTCTTGCATTTATGCTTCAAGAATATTCGATTCTGCAAATTATATTGTCTTGTACTAAAGTCACAAATAGTATTCTGGACTGCAGCACCTTCAGATCATGTTCTCACTTTGATTTTTACAATCATAACCAAAAATTATATTTTGAATTAGATTATAAAGTTGGGATTTTTAATTATGAATTGTAACCTTTCTAAGAGCAAGAAATAAAAATCTTTATGACTCAACAATGTGAATCTCAATTGCAGTTCATTTGTACTTCTCAGAAAAAGAGGTTTATTTTTATGTTGACACATACATAAAGTTATTCTAGTGTTACTCCGCTAATATGACTGCTAAAAAAATTGATCAAGGAAACAATTTATGTTTTTAAAATTACTCTCTGACACGCTTAAAAAATGAAACACCATTATACATCTTACAGTAAATATAATCTTATTACTTTTACATTTTTATTTTTATTCTTGTATGAAAAGCTCTCAAAGTGGGAATTAATTTGTCTGATATATAACCATCCTTTTGTATCTGAATCTTGTCAGTACCTTACAAGGCAAAGCGTTCACAGCTAGTCTGAGTAGTGACAAGGTAAATATCGCTCATTAATGGGGATTTGTAGAACAGTTCCAATTATTGACAATTCATGATATTCCAGATTCCTTTCTCATAATTTGTATTGCGTTTGATTTCACACAGAATGTGGTAACCTTTCCCTTACCTAAAATGATGAGCACATACCAGATACTTTTAAAATGTCTTTTATTCTGTAAAGCAAACATCCATACAAAAGGAGATTTTTTCACATTTCTAATTTTTTTTCTGGTGCAATCTTGAATCTAAAACAAATCATGAGAGGAAAAAAATTTGAGCTTAAAACTTTCTCTGTAAAATGCTAGAAGCCAGTTTCTTTCTGTTGAGTTACAATAGCAGCATTAGGGAGGTACTGTTTGCTTCAGGAAGACTCAATTGGATCTCCTTGATTTCTAGTTATATTAGGGTTGAAAACCCCAGCAGGACAGATTGATTCACTCAAGATATGTGGGTTACCCTAAATATCTTCTCTAACGCATGGGGGTTTTGTGATGTGCCTTTGCACATCTGCATGCATTTAAATCATGCATTATTTTTAAAAGTAGATTGTGGGTCTGTTGAGTTGTATCTTAGCATAGCCTAGTGGTTGCTAAAGGGTATTATTCTATTGTTTCCAATCTAGGAATAAAAAAGGAATACTGAGCTTACTTTAAAACGATTAGTAATACTTAGTGGTCTTAACATACACACACAAAAAGGAAAATAAATAATAAAGTAAAATTAAATTCTTACTAATTAAACAGACTAGGACAATATTATTAAGTGCACTAAGTGGTAGTATTTGGGTTTGACTTCCAAAGTAAAACACTTCAGCCTCGCTCTTGTCCTGAACTTTTTCCAAGGTCTGAAGGGTCATATTCATTCTTTAATATTCTGTTCTGCTTTCTGCTATGATACTTTGCATATGGAAATTATGTACCTTTAATTTCTTAAACTTTTGCATTTGGAATAAATATTCTACAGGCACTTAGAATTTTCTCTCCATCTCTCATCTATAAATAAAGTATTTTGGTGATTCTTTAAAATTGTAGTCTTCGTAATAATAAAGAATCAGTGTGAAATTATTTTTCTTTCACAGCTTGTTGATGTTTTGGGTTTTGATTTGTGGTTCTTTGTTTGTAATTGTATTTTGATAATATAAAGATCACCATTAATTGCTAATAATCCTAATTTTTTTTTTCTTTTTTGCTCTTGAAATTGGCCAAGAT